AAAATGATGTATGTCGTCTTTTATATAGTGAGAAGGAGACTGCCTTGAATTGAGTTTCCTCCTTGGTGTAAGAGTCCTCATATGGTGGTGGATTTGCTTGATAAGGAAGTAGGGTGATAAGATATTTAGAAATGAAATTTAATCCGAACACAACTCAATTACAATCGATGTGAAGTAATGAAAAGCAATATTCATCATTTAATTATTTCAAACCAACGTTTATCATTTAGCGAGTTCTATGAAAACATTAAATCACAATGGACAACAATATTCATCACAGATTATGCTCAAACAATATTAAAGTATCGAAATCAAACATGAAACGAAAACAAATATAATCCAAAGCACAATACTACCAAATGTCCTATAATCGGGCTCATCCAACTAGTCGAGAGCTGATGAACAGAGTCGTGGAGTCAATCTCGATCTCGTCTATGCCATAACAGACAACCGGGAACTTAGCCGCTTATGGTGGTGATGACGGAGGCTGAAATGGTGGAAATGAAGCTGATCATGGCAGAGAGGAGGTAACCGACAGCGATATGATGCGAAGAAGGGGCGAAAATGACCAACGGACAACCGCACTCACCGGAAAACGTTAATTTTCCAACGAGTCTTCCGAAAAATGGTGGCGGAAATGGGATCTGAAGGTACCGATGGAAAGCTCTGGTGATGGGGAGTTTAGAACAAGTCCTAGGGAGGTGAAAAGTCATCGGAAATGAGCAAGATCTGGGCTGGAAGTTGAAGAGTCGCGGTGGCTAGATGGCGGATTCTGACAGTTTTTGCGGCGGCTGAAGCTTGGAATATGTAGATCCGGCCGTTGGGAAGGGAGATCAACCTTCAGGGAGCCCAAATGTCACCGAAAAAATGCGAAATCTGGTCTGGAATGCAAAGAGTCGTGGTGGTGGAAGGTGAAGAGTCACGGCGTTTCGCGTGATTTGCGGTGGTGGTTTGCCGTGGTTTTGGTCGGTGCTTATGAAAGGTGAAAGGTCGTCGAAGATCGTCGGAAATGGGAGAGGAAGAGTTGCTGGAAAATACTGTGGATGGGTGTCGGCGCTGTGGCTTTTTTACGCTTCATCTTCTTTTATACACAAAGTGGAAAATATCACTTTGGTCCCTACACGATTGAAAAGTGACAAAATCAGCCGTATAAATATGACATTTTACCCCCTAAATAGCATAAACAAGACAAAATCACCCCTAATCCATAAACCACAACCTAATATCAACTCATATCCTTTCTAAAATCATTCCAAACACGTTAAATTCATAAGAAAAATATTAGGAAGCGATTTTCGCGAATAAATTCATAAATTCTTTAATTGTCTCAATATACTTCAATTTAATCACACATGGGGTATTTTTATCACCAAAATAGAGTCACTTTCATGACTCTAACAACTGATTGTATATGGCTAGTCGTGCACTAGCAAAGCCAATTCTGACCATGGATCACAAATCCATGTCCGTTTCATGGTTAGATCTATAGCCATTTCACAGGTCGTTTTACGGTTAGATCTATGGCCATTTCAGGGCCAGATTTGGCCGGAAAAGGCCTTACTGATGCATGACTGGCCAGATCCCGCTGATTGTGCGCCAGTATGGTGACTGACGCTTGCGGCTGACAGTGGTAACGGCCGGCAGTGGTCTTGGGTGGCTAGGGGTATTTTGTTAACTTTTAAACTTTTTTATAGCTAGGGTGTTTTAGCTAATTTCTCAAATGTAGGGGGATTGGGTAATTGTTATTGGGTAGACATTTGAGAACAATTGTGTTCGAAATGGTATTTAATTAAGGGCAAAATAGATATAAAATCAAATTACTTGATAATTTTTTAATAACACCCCTGGGAGAGGGTATCGGATTACTTCCTACATTACCAACAATAAACACTATTTGCAATAAAGGATACCTGTAATATTTTATTATTTGCAAACAAAACACCAGAATCTTACAAAATAAACGAAGATTACCCCTGTTATCTTATATGCCCCTGATCCAAACGCACCTATAATATATTTATACTTATACCCCACTCATAATATAAACACTTTATTTATCTAAAATTTTTTAATTTTTTTTTTTTTTTAACAAGTTAGATAAAATTTATTTTACTAAAAAAGTTTGATTAAGAGTATGTCAGTATTAAATTGTTTTCCTTTTTAATTTTTTCCTTACTTTTTTATTCGTGAGCATCTCTCCAAAATAATTAGGAGTAGTGTTATTAATCCCCACTAAATTTTTTTAGGTCTCAATTATAATTAAAATATTTTTAAAAGTTAATTTATAAAAATATTATATTTCTTCTCAAAATTACCCTCATTTATATATTATTTTTTTCTAAATATGGTAGAACCTCTCTGTAGTCATAATGTTGCAACCAACTAAATTTATTACCATAAGGAGGTTATAACTTAATAGAGGTTTAGTTACAAAAATTATTGTTTTGATTTCTTATTTTATAACTAATGTTTTAGTAGTATTAAGATTTCAATTCATTGTTTTAGTAGTATTAGGATAGTACGGAAATGAATATCAAATAGTCATTACAAAATTGAGTGATCAGATTCGACAACTTTATTTTACTAATCAAATAGATATTAATATATTTCTCAATTATCCAAATGAGTAACAAGTCATGTATGCTTTAACTGAATAAGAAATCATTAGCGAAATCATACAAGAAAAGGAATGATATAATCCTGAGGATGATAATATGAAAATACCACAAGTTTTATGTCAAGAAACTCTAAACATGTTTGAGAGCTAGAAATATAAAAGATGTGGTAACAACTCTAAAGCATAAATCATTGTCCTAAACAACTTTAGATAAATATTTTATTTCATCTTAAACCTTTAATGTAACATAGCATATACTTTTTGCAACATACATATAATTATTACTATGTAGAGGCAAATTCCTTAGGACGGGACCTAGAAAAATTATAACTTATTACAATGTAAAATTTATTCTTATTTATAACTAACCCAAGTTGGGGCCAACATTTTTTATGACTATACGAAGATTATTCCTATACAAAGTATCACTATAGAGAGGTTATACTGTATATTTCTCATATATAGCAGAGCCTCTCTATAGTCATAATGTTGGGACCAACTAAATTTATTATTATGAGGAGGTTATAACTTAATGAAGGTGTAGTTACAAGAATTATTGTTTTGATTTCTTATTTTGTAATTCATGTTTTAGTAGTATTAGGATTTCAATTCATGTTTTAGTAGTATTAGGATTTCAATTTATTGTTTATTGTTTAGTAGCATTAGATCAATAGTACGGAAATGGATATCAAAGAGTCATTGCAGAATTGAGTAATCAGATTCAACAACTTCACTACACTAATCAAATGGATATTATTGTCTTCTTCAATCATCAAAATGAACACAAGTCGTGTATGCTTTAATCGAAAAAGAAATCATTACTAGAATTAAACAATAAGAGGCCTGAGATAATTCAGAGGACTTTTGGTACATAAATACCAAAAGTTTTGTGCCAATAGACTCTAAACATGCTTGAGAAGCTAGAAATATTTTGACTTCAACAAGAAGGTTTCCATGTTGGTGACTTATTATGTACCCACAAGATACAAGATTTGATAACAACTCTAAAGCATAAATCATTGTCTCAAACAATTTGGGATAAATATTGTTATTTCATCTTCAACTTTTAATGTATCATAACATATATTTTTTGCAATATATATATATAGAGAGAGAGAGAGAAGTTACTTAACACGAGACCTAGAAAAATTATAACTTATTTCAATGTGAAATTTATTCTTATCTACAACTGGTCCAAGTTGAGACCAAAACTTTTTATAACTACATAGAGATTATTCTTATATAGAGTATTACTATAGAGAAATTCTACTGTATATATTTTTAAAAAAATATTATTGGGGTTAGAAAGAGATTTTAACGGGGTTTAAATAACACCACTCAATAATTAATCATGTCTCTATAACATGTTTGTTGATGCAAGATTTAGGCACCAACGAATTGACACGTGCGCAGCGTTGATTGGACAAGAAACACACGTGAATATGGGTTGTGAATATGAAATAAATGCAATGAGAGTTTTTAAAGTAGTTCGGATGCTAAGGTAGCAAATCTTACATCCACTGATTTGTATTAATATGGTGGGTCAGGTCGCTAAGGTGGACTGACTTACAAATGATTGAAAAGTAAATACAAAGCTTTGTTTAGTGAGAAAGAGCGTTCAAATGTTAAATGATCGAATCCCTTTAATGAAGGGGTCTTCCTCTTCTTATACCAAGCTGAATCCGTGTAATCATCATTAAATCCTTGGGTTGGTGTGAATGTCAGGATATAATCTGGCTTTACGTCCCATTACCCATTTCCCAAGCCGATTTTACGTGATTTGGAGCAGGTTAGCAGACACGTGGGAGCTCCAGGGCGCTTGGCAGGCCTGACGTGCACTTATCGTTCTGACGGGAGCAGGCCACATTTCGTCACACGACTCCACATCAGCCTTTGATTTCCCAGGCATAACAGAAGTCCCCTAGTTTGTAAGGTTTGAGGATCGAACCTTGGAAACTAAGTCATGCCGCGATTGGAGGTTCCGGTTGTTTCGACCTGAATGGAAGAAGCTCGGGACAGGACCTTTTGCGAACACGACCTCGCACAATTCTTGCTCAAACGACCTGACAATCATCACTTTAGTGACCTGGATTCGTCGGACGCTCTTTTCCGTGCCTTGGAGAGATTCAATGGACCTGCCTCCATGCTGTCAAACACTCTGCATGCGCTGCAGTGTCTGCCAGGAGCATTAAATGCGTTGTGCTGACTCGACGTCGTTTTGACAGCTTTAACTGCACGACGCATTTGAAACGACGACCCCCATCACGGCATTTAATGCGACATGGGGCGCATTAAATGCGGGGAGAGAGAGAAGGCTGTCGTTTCGGTTCCGAGAGGTAGTAACCGTCGATTCGCAGTCCATATAAAAGCTCACGTTTTTCAGATGAGGCCACCAAAATCCCTTTCGTTTCCAGTGATAAACCTTTGCAAACCGGAAGTTCCTCTTTTCCGATTGGCGCTTCTCAGGCATCTGAAACGAGTTTCGGCCTTGGTCACGCATCCCAGAAGGTAAGATTCTTCTTCTCCTTCCTCTTTTCTCTTTTTTTTTTTTTTTTTTTGTTTGTTTGGTTGGTGGGTAATGGCGTTGGGTCTCCTGGTGTTTCATCAGCCATTGTTGCCAGACTCAAGCCGTGGGTGGCGGCTCAAGTTACTGTTAGGGTTTTAGGAATTTGTCCCATGCCGTCGCACGGGACAAAATGCGAAGGCTAAAATGACCGTGTCTGTCAGTGTTGCAGACTCTGGAATGGAACCGTCAACATCCAGACCCGAGGAAGGAACCAGCTCGTCCTCGCGGGAAGTTCCCGAGGACGCATCCCTTGACGTCTTCTCGGTTCTCACCTGAGAAGAGCTGGATAGGATTAAGAAACAGTTCAATGTCTGCGTAGAGGTGTTCCTCGACTACACCCGGTCGTCACGGCATCCTGTTGATGGCCTTGCTGTGATCTCCGAAGAGATCTTCAAGGGTGGAGGGATGATTCCCTTCCATCCTTTCATCAGGTCGATCCTGGATCACTTCGGGATCGCACTGATGCAACTCACACCAAACGCGTATGTCATCGCCGTCGCGATGTACATTGCGTGCTGCGAAAGCGGCTTGGGCGAGCCAACGGCGGTGGAGCTCGGCGTCGCCTATTACCTTAAAAAGAGTAGGGACAAGGATTCATATTACTTGTCCCGGCGACCTACCATCGTCGAGGGGATACATAGCTATCCCAGCAACGCGGGGGCCTACGAGACGAAATTCTTCTTTTTCTGCTATGACGGCTACTGCCGCTTTCAGATACCAAGTAGGTTCTTCCTCGCTAGGCATATTATCTGTTCGCATGCTCTATAATAACGACCTGTATTCTTTTGCAGTTAACAGAACGACCAGCCAAGACTTACTTGACGACCCGGACAGGCTCGTATCTTTTGGAGTTCTTCCTGAGGAGAGCCAGGATGCGAGGAAGCTCGTAACAACCGCGAACTTGAGGAAGTACAGTTTTATCAATAGCAACGCGTCTTTAGAGCCCCTAGAAGATAAGTTACATTGATTTCCTTCCTGGTCACGGAGTAGTTTTGTTTACTAACGCACTTGCATGTAGAAACTATGCCTCCGAAGGAGTCCAAGCAGCCTCGTCGAGCGCCGTTCGTCTTCCCTCGGTCAAGGAGAGAGCGAGCGGCCAAAGCTGCTCGTCCTATCCGACACAACCGGTATGAACTGCCGCGCCTTCACAGCCCCAACCTGTGCAAGAAGCGACTAGGGCAGAACAGGTCGCTCAGGCACCACCGGCTCGCCCAAGGCGGAAGGCACCGACCCAAAGGTCGAAAAAGAGGAAACAGGTTCAGGTTGACGAGTCTGAGACCGAATCCGAGGAAGAGCCCTTGAGGTCGCGAAAGGACTCAAGGAGGTCGGGCAAGGAATCTGCAAGTGAGGCGATCACTGCCGACAAGGCGAAGGACACACCAGTGCTGGACTCGTTGGGGAGCCTGCCCGAGTACCTGCAGTTGATAGTCTTTTCTCTGCTCGAGTGTGGACTATCGGAGTCTTATGATGAGTTCGCTGACACGGGCGATGACCTAATGACCACGTCGTTCCAGCATCTAAGCAAGGTAAACGAGCTGTTCTTAAAATTTCATTCTAGTTCATTTCTAATCATTTCTTGCTCGCAGGCTTTGCTTGCGATGAGGATGGCTATGGAGAAGACTCGATTGGGGGCCGCAAAGGGGTCCAGTGACCTAAAGGAGGAGGTCGCGAAGCTCAAGAAAAGCCTGGAGTCTGTCGAAGCTGAAAGGACGCAAGCATTCGAAGCGGCGAATAGGTATCTGAGCCAAAAGGATGCTGCTTTACGAACTGTGGACTTCCAAAAGGCGGAGCTTGAGCGACGTGCGGAGGAAGTGAAGGAACTTCAAAGGATGACCGCCAGGCTCTCCAAAGAGGTCAGAGAGAAGGACCAGGAGATCCAGACGACCTCCATATGGGCCCAGCAAGCTGAACAGGAAAGGGAGGCCTCCAAACAGGAGAAGCAGGCTCTTGAGGCCGAACTCCAGGAGAGTCGGGAAAAGATCGCTTCACTGACTGAAGAAATGCAGAATAGTCAGAGGAGCTGGAGGAAAAGGCCGCCAACTGGGCGATCGGGTCTATTTATTCCCTCCGATTAAGAAACCCAGATATGGACATTTCCGACCTCCCGGAGGGGTGGCGAGAGACTTTGCGGATTATGGCAGAGGAAGACGATCAGGCAGCAGCCGCCACCCGACGATCCGACCAGGTAGGGGGTTCTGGTTCTGGTTCTGGTTCTGCTTCGAGAGATCCCCCCGACCAGCCGTAGTGTAATGAGTTTTGACCCCATTGAAGTTGGGTCAACTTTTGTTTGTACATAAATGAAGATACATTTTGCTTTTAATTGCAGTTCGCTTTTTCATACATAAGTTCAATTTACAATTCAGTTTTACATAGGCAATATTACATGCGAATTCTTACACGCGAACAGAACACATGCAAACTGTTTCCAACGAACAAAATTATGCTTTATATTAAAAAGGAAACTAACAGAAACTAATTGAGAGCTGAGTTCGGGTTTACTGATAGTATGGCCGGAGGTTTTCGACATTCCAAGCTCGGGGTACTTTGGAACCGTTCAATCTTTTGAGATGGTAAGTCCCCGGTCTGATCACCTTGTCGACCCGGTACGATCCTTCTCAGTTAGGTCCTAGTACCCCCGCACTCGGCTCTCTGGTCCCAAGGAGAACTTCCTTTAGCACAAGGTCCCCGACCTGGAAGTCTCTTCGCTTGACCTTTGAATCAAAAAACCTCTTTGCTCGCTGCTGGTAGGCTGCTATCCTTAACAAAGCCTTGCTGCGATGCTCTTCAACGAGATCCAAACTTGCCCTCATAAGTGTTTCATTTTCAACCTCATCGTACAGGTCCCTCCGAAGTGAACCAGTTCCCACCTCTACAGGAATCATCGCTTCACAGCCATAGGCTAGCAAAAAAAGGGTCTCTGAGGTGGAAGTTCTTGGAGTTGTCCTGTACGCCCATAAGACTTCAGGGAGGTCGTCAGCCTAATTTCCTTTGGCCGCCCCAAGCTTGGCTTTTAGAGTGTGCTTTATGGTTTTGTTGACTGATTCAACTTGGCCATTTGCTTGCGGTCTGGCGACTAAGGCAAATTTTTTATGGATGCCCAGCTCGTCGCAGAATTGTTTGAACTCCTCGTTGTCAAATTGCTTTCCATTGTCCGAGATGAGGGTGTGGGGAATTCCGTAGCAGCACACTATGTTCTTGAAAACGAAGTCCTTCAGCTTTCTGGTCGTGATCGCAGCCAGAGGTTCGGCTTCCACCCACTTTGTGAAATAATCGACCGCGACCACGGCATACTTGACCCCTCCCTTTCCAACTGGCATGGGACCGATAACGTCGATCCCCCACATGGAGAATGGCCAGGGGCTAGACATGGTTATCAGCTCGTGTGAGGGGGCTCGCAGAATGTTCGCGAACCGCTGGCACTTATCACATTTTTTGACAAAATTGTGCGTATCTTTCTGGATCCGGGGCCAATAATATCCCTGACGAACAACCTTGTTCGCGAGAGATCGAGCAGCTGTGTGATTACCGCAAATTCCTTCGTGAATTTCTCTCATGATGTAGTCTGCTTCTTCACTGGTTACACATCGGAGGAGAGGGGCACTGAATCCTCTCCTGTACAGTTGGTCCCCGATGAGTGTGTAACGAGCAGATCTTGCTCGCAGGACCCTTGCCTCGACCTTGTCGTCTGGTAAAGTCCCATCCTTGAGGTACTGAAAAATGGGAGTCATCCAGGAATCCGGTTGAGTCATGGTCACGGCCTGTTTGGTTGAGCTGATAGTTGGAGCATCCACGAAATGAACAGGGATGTTGTCTGGAGCCTCTGAGTCCAACGACGAGGCTATCTTTGTTAAGGCGTCTGTTATAGAATTGCTGTCTCTAGGGATCTGAGTGATTTCAAAATGCTTTAATGACCCCAGAGTGACCTTGGCCTCTTTCAGGTAGCGGACCATGTTCTCTTCTTTAGGTTGGTATTCCCCTAAAATTTGGTTGACGACCAGCATGGAGTCGCTGTGAATGCTGATTGCGGTTGCACCCATTTCTTTGGCAAGTCGCAACCCGACGAGCAAGGCTTTATACTCTGCCTCATTATTGATCGCCTTAAACCCGAACCGGAGAATACCATGGATTCGAGCCCCTTCGGGGCTTACAAGGAGAAGACCCGCACCGGCTTTTTTCCTATTCGATGACCTGTCGACGTAGAGGTTCCAGGTCGACAGGTTCTGCATACTTTCTTGCACGACCTCGCTGGGCTGTTGCTCGCTCGAGAGATAGGAAAATTCTGAGATGAAGTCTACAACAGCTTGCCGTTTGATGGTTGTTCTGGGCTTGTACTTCAGGTCGAATTGGCTCAGTTCCATGGCCCATTTGAGCAGCTTACCCGAGGCTTCTGGTTTCTGGAGGACCTGCCTGAGGGGGTAATTAGTCATTACGTTGATTGTATGGGCATGGAAGTAAGGTCGCAGCTTTCTGGACGCGATCAACAGAGCAAAGGCTAGTCACTCCATTTCTGGATACCGCATCTCGGCATCCGATAAACGCTTGCTTGCATAATAGACTGGCCACTGCACCTTTTTCTCTTCCCGCACTAAAGCTGCACTGACCGCGAACTGAGAGACGGATAGGTAGATGAGCAGGATTTCCTGTGGAAGAGGCTTAGAGAGGAGAGGTGGCTTCCCTAGGTGTTCTTTTATACTCTGGAAAGCATGTTAGCATTCAGGAGACCATTCAAATTTCTTGATAGCCTTCAGAACATTGAAGAATGGTAAGCAGCGGTCTGTTAGCCTTGATATGAAGCGACTAAGTGCCGCTATCCGCCCATTTAGACTCATGACCTGCTTCTTGTTGGTCGGGCTCTTCATATCGAGCAGGGCTTGAATCTTCTCGGGGTTTATTTCTATGCCCCGCTGATTAACCATATACCCCAGGAACTTTCCCGATGATACCCCGAACGAACACTTGAGAGGGTTTAGCTTCATTCTGTAGAGTCGAAGAATGTCAAACATCTCAGTGAGATGTGCAATGTGTTCTGAGGCGACCTGGGATTTGACCAGCATATCGTCCACATAGACTTCCATTGTCTTCCCAATCTGGTCAGAAAACATTCGGTTGACCAACCTCTGATAGGTCGCGCCCGCATTCTTGAGACCGAAAGGCATAACTTTGTAACAGTATAGCCCCCGGTCCGTAATGAAGTACGTATGCTCCTCATCCGGCCCATACATCGGGATTTGATTGTATCCCGAGTACGCATCCATAAAGCTCAGTAGCTCGTGCCCTGAGGTGGCATCAACGAGCTGGTCGATCCTCGGTAGGGGGAAGCTGTTTTTTAGGCAAGCCTTGTTGAGGTCGTTAAAGTCAACACAGGTCCGCCACTTGCCGTTCGGCTTCTTTACTAGGACCGGGTTGGCGACCCAGGTCGGGTAGAGTGCCTCTCGGATGGACCCATTTCGGAGGAGGTTTTCCACTTCCGATTTTAGTGCGGCGTACCCCTCTGGATCCATTGCTTTTCTTTTCTGGCGAACCGGTCTAGCTTCACTGCTAATGTTTAATGAATGGCAGATAATGTCCGGGCTAATCCCGACCATATCTGCATGCGACCAGGCAAACATGTCAATGTTTTCCTTTAAGAAGTCTATCAGCTCGGAAGCGAGCTGAGGGATGAGATAGCTCCCAATCTTTAATACTCGGCTCGACTCTTTTGGATCAACCGGAACTTCGGTCAGATCCTCAACCGGGCCACTAGGAGGAATTTCCTGAACTCGCGGATCTATGTTATCCTCCGCTGGACCAGGCTGTGGCTCGATCCAACTGATCGCCATAGCCTGGCGAGGCACACATCGCGAAATGCCCTTTTCTTTGTCTGCCATCTGCACCGCTTTTATATAGCATTCGCGAGATGCGCTTTGCGATCCGCTTACTTCCCCTATCCCTGTTGGAGTGGGGAACTTCATCTTGAGGTGATAAATGGAAGTGACTGCCTTGAAGCTTCTTAACAAAGGTCGCCCCAAGATTCCATTAAAGGCTGATGGGCAGTCCACGACCAGAAATTCGGTAACCCTAGTCACCTCGTCGTAGTCGCCGAGCATGACTGGTAGCTGGATTGTTCCTCTGGGGATCAGGTGGTCCCCTGTAAAACCGTAGAGAGGTATCGAGGCGGGCTTTAGGTCGGCCTCGTCTAAGTTCATTCTGTCAAAAGCAGTCTTGAACAGGATGTTCACAGCACTTCCGTTGTCCACAAGCATTCTGCAGACATTATGACACCCTATCAGGGGCGTGATCACCAAGGCATCCTCGTGAGAATGGTGCAAGCGAGCTGCTTCTCTTTCGCAGAAGGTGATCGGCTCCTCCTTTCGAGCCTTTTGTGGTCACTGCGAAGTATTCATTACTCTGATCGGGTCATGATATGTTTCACGAGCATACCTTTCTTGCGCTCCTCGCGTGTTCCCTGCGAGATGTGGACCTCCGAAAATTATATTAATGCTACTGTACCCACTGCGATCACGACGCTTTTTCTTTTGCTCCCCTTGGCTCTCCTTTGGGGAGTTATCAATATACTCCTTGAAGTGCCCCTTTTTAATGAGCTCTTTGATTGCCTGCTTTAGGGCTCGGCATTCATCAGTGTGATACCCGTTATCCCGATGGTAACGGCAGTATTTTTTGCTGTTCCTGGCCGTAGCTGGAGTTTTCATTGGTTCCGGCTCACCGAGCAGGCTGGCTTCCTCGGATTTGTCAAGGATCACAGATATGGACACGTTCAGCGGAGTGTATTGAGCTCTGTCCCTGTCACGATGAGGAACAGGAGCATAGGACTTTTTGTGCTCGTAGCGGGGTTTCTTCCCTTTTCGCTGATCATCAATGTCTCCTTTGCGATCAGCTCTCCTACTTTCTCCCCGACCAGACATACCGCTCGAAGCACCTTGATCGCGGCGGCGGAGTGCCGCCAACGAATTCTCTATCCGGAGATACTTTTCTGCAAGATTGTAAAATCTGGTGAGGGAAACATCGTCCTCAGCCTGCAGTTCTTTCCACAGGTCCGTTTGCGGGTGAACTCCAGCTATTATAAGTGTTCGGATGGACTCTTCTAGTGCGTGAGCCACCTTGTTCAGCTCCCTGTGGAAACGGTCGATGTAGGACTGCAGGGATTCGTCCTTTTCTTACCTTATGTTGCTGAGATAGCTCAAAGGCATCGAAAATTTCCGATTGGCTTGGAAATGCCGCAAGAACGTCGTGCTCATCTGAGGCCACGAACTGATCGATCCCGCTGGGAGCGACCTTAACCACCGCTTGGCGTGAGAAGTGAGCGTCACAGCCAAACAGCGACATTTTGCAAGGTTCGAAACCTGGTGGAGCTCCATCAGGTCGTTGAACTCGTATAAATGATCCTACGGGTCATGGTTCCCGTCAAACGGTCGCATGTCGGGCATTCTGAACCCTGGTGGGAGCGGAGCAGCTAGCACTTCGGGAGAGAATGGGGATGCAAAGGCTACATGGGCCTATTCGCTTTGCTGCTCCCTTAACCTGTCCAGAGCTCGCTGTAGCTCCTCAATTTATGGTAACGGGCCCAACTGAGGGTTGCTTTCACCCATGCGAGTCCGGCCTTCGCAATTACGGTTCAGGAAAGTCCGGAGGTCGGATTCCTCTTAGCCTCAGCCGGCATTTCTGGCCGCACTCGACACACTCTGGCTAGAGGCGTGTGAAGGCGATGGATTGCGCGGGGCGTTTTCACGACCCTCGCGGTGGTACGAACCGTCCCGCAAGGTGTAGGGGCCACCCGCATAACGATCGGGATCGTTCTACTGGCGGTGATAGGAATCATCGCGCCTGGCATTTTTGCTTGGGTTCGCCTGCGACGTGGCATGGGACAGCTTCGGATTTACTTTTTCGCCGAGTCTCAGCTTTGCCGGCACCCTACTCAAGGCGCGATTTGTGCTCGCTGGTCCTTGGGAGCCCGTAGGCTTACCTTTTGCCACTTGCTTTCCCTTACTTCTACGCGCTGCAGTGCTCGCGGCACGGGCTATTGCCCTTTGCCGTGCTTTCGCACGACCTGCAAGCGTCTTTGGCGGTTGCACCGCCCCAGCTGTCGTAGATGACATGCCTTGGTCCAAACGATCCAACCTCTGGTTGACCGTCTGGAGAGTGTTGTCGAACCTCTCCAGGTAACTTCTGATGGCGGGGTCGAGTTGCGAAGCTGCCGGGATATCCCCCGCAGCATTTTGTGGAACTGGAAGTACCCTGGAGGGGGTATCCCCTTGGGTCAAGGGGACTCCTTCAGCGCGCTGATTAGCTTGCTCAGGTTCTGATTGGCGGGCCATTTGTTGCTGTAGGACCAGTACGTCGAAGATTCTCCTGATGAAGGGTAAACGCTAAATCAGGCCCTCTTTCTAGTGCCAAACTATTGATGCAAGATTTAGGCACCAACGAATTGACACGTGCGCAGCGTTGATTGGACAAGAAACACACGTGAATATGGGTTGTGAATATGAAATAAATGCAATGAGAGTTTTTAAAGTGGTTCGGATGCTAAGGTAGCAAATCCTACATGCACTGATTTGTATTAATATGGTGGGTCAGGTCGCTAAGGCGGACTGACTTACAAATGATTGAAAAGTAAATACAAAGCTTTGTTTAGTGAGAGAGAGCATTCAAATGTTAAATGATCGAATCCCTTTAATGAAGGGGTCTTCCTCTTCTTATACCAAGCTGAATGCGTGTAATCATCATTAAATCCTTGGGTTGGTGTGAATGTCAGGATATAATCTGGCTTTACGTCCTATTACCCATTTCCCAAGTCGATTTTACGCGATTTGGAGCAGGTTAGCGGACACGTGGGAGCTCCAGGGCGCTTGGCAGGCCTGACGTGTGCTTACCGTTCTGACGGGAGCAGGTCACGTTTCGTCACGCGACTCCACGTCAGCCTTTGATTTCCCAGGCATAACAATGTTATACGTGGTAATATGATATGATGAAATGGAAAGATCAAAAGCAAAAAAAAAAATGTTGAAAATGGAGATCATTATTAGAGAGAAAACTGGGTGTATGAAATTGTTTCCATCGAGTGATGAGTAATGATCAAAAGCAACTTTGTATAATAGTATAAATTCAAATATAATACGCACTAATGAAAAGACTAAAACAAGGTTTAATAAGCGAAAAGACAAAAATATCCTCATCACGTTTCATGAAAACATTTTCAACCAGTTCTCTCCTTGTGTTCGTCATACTATTTTTACACCATCTTATTCTGTTATCCTATTATTCTGTTATCCTATTCTAAAAAATGAAAAATGCATTTGTTTTAATATTTTTCAAAATCAAATCTTATTTTATGCAACTCAAAACATTAACAATTGTTTTTCTCAATAAAAGTTTTAAAATTAACAAAAACACCCTCACTCACCCAAGCCACTATCATCCACCAACAACCACCGCCATCACCAACCGTCGTCGCTGCCATAGTTGGTCGTTAGTGCCATAACGACGCACAACCGACTAGATCTGACTGGCTATGTCATGAATCTTGCTAGAAACGGTTAGATCTACGACCAAAGATCTGGTCATCGGTCATATCTTGACTGTTGAAAAAAATTAACAAAATAAAATAAAACTTCCTCTGTCTAAATGATTAAATTCCACAGGAAAAGACCAACTGCGTCAACCATAACACTTCGACTTTTTTTAATACTTTTACTGACTTCAATAATCTAGAAGACAATCTCAACAATCTTTTAGCTTCTTACACAAAACAAATGGTTATGTTGAAATCAAATGAACCTTTAATAATACAAACTAATTTATGCAGATTTTGTATTTAGTATGAATATTAAGTACACTGCAAATTGTTAGAATAAATTTTATAGATATTCAAAGGCAAACTGTTAAAGTGTGAATCTATTTTGGAGAGCTTGAAGTTGTCATTGGCAGAAGTGGGAAGCTACAGCAAAGTGACGAAGGAAAAAGAGATGACCGATCGCTGCAGCGATCGAACCGGTCGCTGCAGCGAACGCTGAATGTGAAGAAGAACGACAGCCGCGGCGAGCGTCTTGGACCGCAAAAAGTTCCAGCTTTATTCTTTTTCCTATTTTCTAGTATTCTAGTTTTAGAATAACTCTTATTCATAAGAGATTTGGTTGAGTCAAATTAGGAAAGTAGAACTTGATTAGGAATATTAGTTCATAAGAGTTTTGCTTGTATCTAACTAGGAAAGTAGAATCTGTTTTGAAGTAGAAGTAGTATTTCCTTTGTTGTATAAAAGTAGTTAAACATTAATGAAAAATTATGAGAGTTCATTGTTTCCTTCAGTAAAAGTGTTAACGTTATTGCTTCCAATTCCAACACAAACAGCCATATATATATACTGTATTTATAATTTCCAAACGGAATGATCTGAAAATGAACCCTCATCTCATCTGTCACATTCATTCTCACAATACTCGAAAACTACACGGATAGAGAAGACAACCACGCCCAAATAAACCCCACAACATCGGAATTGGTTCACCTATATATAAATCCATTGTCCAGACGCTAACGGTGTACCCTAGAATACTGGATTAAATGTTTCTGCCTCTTCAAGTTTCCAGGTGTTGTTCCAGGGAGCCCAGAATCTGACAAGTTGCATAAAAGATCAAGTAAAAGGCTCAACATTAGTGCATGCAGACAGGAGAGTAAACAAAAACTAAACCCATACTCAAACATTAAACGGTTGCAGGTTTATACCACGTGTCAACTGTATAGGAGGTGAAACATACCAAGTTGGACAAGTGGCATTCGCCTCTGTGCATGAAAACACACGTTGAAATGTGGAAATGACAAAGTAGCTATGGAGAATACAGACACTACTTTTACGTGTCAGTACATGAAATTCCCTTAATAAGAAGAACGGTAGCGTCAGAAAGTCCTCAGTCGCAGATTTTTGCTATTTTCTGTAAAGGAAATTTGGTTCTACTTTAAACTTCTGTGTGATCAAGATTGGTGTAGTATCTATAATCTTTGATAAAGATTTTAAGAGCTGAAAGATGAAGGTTTGTTGTTAAGTTAAAAAAAAAGGGAATTTTGGTGCTTATTTCTCTGGATTTAGTATTGAAACACTTGGTTTTGATTCGGTTCTAATAATTTTATTATGTATATTTCTTGTTTCAGTTAATTTGGGTTAGTGTTTTGACAACTTAAAATGAAATACAAATTCTTAGTTGTTCAACTGTTTGTCTATCTTTATTAAATGATTTAAATATAAGCAACAACTCAAGTATTTGAAGTTTCTAATATTTGTTTATTGGGTTGATGATGTTTTGTTAATAAATATGTATGAATGTTTTGTAAATATTAAGGTTCACGAAACAAGGTCGCACTCCCATGCATCTGGTGATGAAGAGAAAGTGATGACAAGGAAGCAGAAAGCTGAAAACAGAACACATGATGCCGAGCAATCTCCAAAGAAGGCCAAGCAAGACCATGACAATGGCAAGACTAATGGAAAAGCTGGAGAATCTGATGCTATAGACGTGGAGTTTGAAGAATTCTGTAAAGCTATTGAGGCTAATCTCTCTATTGAACAAATGATTGAGATTCTTGAAGCTAATGACCAAGACTCCTCTGGCCCAGATCCCATTGTTGTCACTAAATGGTGAGTTCAATTATATAAACCATATTTTTCATTTATATAAACCATGTATGTGGGTTGAGATTCTTATCATTTTAAGAATGTTTTTTTATTTTATTGAAACAGCCAAGACATGCTGTTTTATGGACCGTTAGAGAGATGCCCAATTTGCAATAGTAAATTGGAATTTGATGGTAAAAGATATACTTGCAAAGGAATGTACAGTGAGTGGTCTACTTGCACATTCAGAACAAAGGATCCACCGAGGAGGGAGGAGCCAGTCAAAATACCAGATTCTATCCTCAAATCTGTTGATTCAGACGTATATTTCTGGACCATACATTCTTTCTCTTTACAATTAAGACTTGACTGTCCGGCTGTGTATTTATTTGAGTTCCATTTCTCTCTGCAATAGCTGATAAAGAAGTATCAAGACCCTAGTCGCCGGCCTAGAAGGTATTCAGTTGCTGCTGAGAAACCCTTCACAGGGATGACAATTTCGCTAATGGGTGGTCTTTCTCGTACACATGTATGTACCAATTTTTATTTCACCAATATTTTTTGCCGTGTCTGAGGCTATTAGAGCCAAATCAAATATGTTCCTTCTAAGGAACGGATCTGTATTTATTGAAGTACTTTAACTACTGATGCAGCAATATTGGAGGAGGACAATTGAAAAACATGGAGGAAAGGTCGCCAACTCAGCTANCCGGCCTAGAAGGTATTCAGTTGCTGCTGAGAAACCCTTCACAGGGATGACAATTTCGCTAATGGGTCGTCTTTCTCGTACACATGTATGTACCAATTTTCATTTCACCATTTTTTGCCATGTCTGAGGTTATTAGAGCCAAATCAAATATGTTCCTTCTAAGGAACGGATCTGTATTCATTGAAGTACTTTTAACTACTGATGCAGCAATATTGGAGGAGGACAATTGAAAAACATGGAGGAAAGGTCGCCAACTCAGCTATAGGTAGTTCATTACCTCTCTTGTCATAATCCAATTGCTAGGGGAAATCGACGTTGGATCTTAGCAAACATTTTTAATCAACTCTATAGGTACAACTTGCCTAGTTGCTTCACCGGCTGAAAGAGAACGCGGTGGCTCATCCAAATTGGTGGAGGCAATGTGAGTGAACACTTATGCATCATTTATTTGCAGCTTGGCCGTAAAATTCCATTTGAATGCATTAGCATAATATAAATTTCAAGCATGACTTGATGACTTCCTACTTGAAGCATATGTGTACCATATTCAAGCTGTACAGTGTACGTCCAAGCAATGGTTCAAATTGAATTATTGCAATACTAGTATATACTATATATAACATCAAGCAAATATTAAATTTGAGTACATTTTAGCGCATGGCCATTCTAAATTTGCTATTTAGGGAGCGAGGTACACTGGTCGTGAGAGAAGCTTGGTTGACTGACAGTATCGAGAAACAAGAAGCACAGCCTCTAGAAGCCTACGATATGGTCACTAATCTTGCCCCCGAAGGCAAAGGAATTCCATGGGATAAAATGGATCCGGATGAAGAGGCACTTGAATCAATTACAGCTGAAGTTTGTACTGTCTCCCTTACTCTTTATTCAAGGAGATAATTTGTGAAGACACCATTTCCATATGACATATAACTTGATAATTGTTGCAGCTCAAGTTAATTGGAAAGAGAGGAGTCTACAAGGATACTAAACTGCATGAGCAAGGCGGCAAGATCATGGAGAAAGATGGAATATTGTACAACTGTGCATTTTCCGTGTGCGACCAAGGGTGTGGACTGAATCAGTAATGCCGGAAAATCCTTTTTTGCTGCTTTAAAATGATTAGTATTGGTGGTTGTGCTAAGTTTCTAACAATGATTGATGCAGCTACTGTATCATGCAACTGATAACAGTACCAGAGAGTAACTTGAATCTGTACTACAAGAAAGGAAAAGTGGGTGATGACGCTAATGCTGAGGAGAGGCTTGAAGAGTGGACTAATGTGGATGATGCAATTAAGGAGTATGCAAGACTGTTTGAGGATACAACGGGTAATGAGTTTGAGCCGTGGGAACGAGAGAAGAAATTCCAGAAGAAGCCATTAAAATTGTATCCAATTGACATGGTAACTGCAGCTATTTGTTTTATGTGTCTGTATCTAAACCAATATTGCAACGGTTTATTTACATCTTTTTCCTTGCCACCAAAAGGATGATGGAGTTGAAGTGAGACATGGAGGGCTTGCTATGAGACAACTTGGGGTTGCAGTTACACATTGCAAACTCGAGCCGATGGTTGCGAATTTTATGAAGGTCCTCTGTAGTCAAGAGATTTACAGGTATGGTCCATCTGTCAAGAATTCATTATTAATATAATCCTCATCAGCCTCCTTCCTTGCAAGGAAATCTCTGTTAACTTTGTGTATTGGCACAGATATGCTCTAATGGAAATGGGGCTAGATGCTCCGGACCTCCCAATAGGAATGCTTTCGAATGTGCACCTGGATAGATGTAAGGAATCTTAAATCAACACTTGGTTTTTTCATTCCTATCCTTGTTTGTCTTTGATCAAATGATTGAATTATTTCAACAGGTAAAGAGATGCTCCTAGAATTCACAGAAACACTGAAATCAATGAAAGAGACAGGGCAGAAGGCTGAAGCTGTTTGGACAGATTTTAGCAATAGATGGTTTACCCTCATGCACTCAACCAGACCTTTCATCTTCAGGGATTATCAAGAACTTGCAGACTATGTAATGCAACCCTTTCCAAGCCCTGAAAGTTTTATGCCTTGCATAATTCCAAATCATCTTACTAACATTTTGTTCTGGCTTAAAACTTTCAGGCTGCAGCTCCATTTGAGACTGTTCGGGACATAACAGTGGCTTCCCATCTTATTGGAGACATGAGTGGTGCTACCCTTGATGATCCATTGTCCGACCGCTATGAAAAACTAGGCTGCTCGATCTCAGCACTGGACAAAGATTCTGATGACTACAAGATGATTCTGAACTACCTGAAGAAAACTTATGAGCCTGTCAAAGTTGCAGATATAGTCAGTCCTACTATCATTCTACCCAAGGTTGATTAGTTAATCAATTATCCAGTAATTTTAATATGGCTTATTTCTTGTTGTAATTCAGGAGTATGGAGTGTCAGTTGAGAACATATTTGCTGTCGAATCAAGTGCTGACCCGTCATTGGATGAAATGAAGAAGCTGCCGAACAAGGTCCTCCTCTGGTGTGGTAAGTATGTCAACCTCAGTTTTGTAATTTTTTACTATTTCTTTGTTCTAACAGAAGCTTATTCTCTTTTGACATTTTGTACTAGGTACTAGAAGTTCAAACCTTTTAAGGCATTTGCATAAAGGGTTCTTGCCTGCAGTTTGCTCTCTCCCAGTACCTGGCTACATGGTATGACACTTTAAATTAAATTTCTCTAAGAATTACTATCAGCATGTATAGATTGAAATCTTTTATGCTCATCAACTATGGGTTGTTGTTGAACAGTTTGGCAAGGCTATAGTTTGTTCCGATGTGGCAGCAGAAGCTGCGAGGTATGGGTTTACAGCAGTTGACAGGCCAGAAGGATTTCTAGTTTTGGCTGTTGCATCTTTAGGAAATCAAATAACAGAGCTCAAGAATCCACCTGAGGTATGTTATCGTAGCAGTCTCAAACTTGTTATATTCAGCTTACGTTTTACATTTATGGAAACCTAAGAAATGTTTACCTGAACCAGGATACAAAGTCCTTGGAAGAGAAGAAGGTTGGAGTGAAAGGTTTGGGCAGAAAGAAGACAGATGAATCAGAACACTTCAGTTGGAAAGACGATATCAAAGTCCCTTGCGGTCGGTTAATCCCCTCGGAGCATAAAGATAGCCCTCTTGAATACAATGAGTATGCTGTCTATGATCCAAAACAGGTACGACATTTATCAAACCTTAGGTTATTTTTAGCAGGCCAAATTAGGTAGGTAACTTTTGGTTGATTTGCTCTTAACAGACGAGTATAAGGTTCTTGGTGGCGGTGAAGTTTGAAGAGAAAGGAGTGGTGATGGACACTGCAGAATGAAGAAATCGAAGTGGAAGTGAAAGAAGGGCTTTTTGTTTTTCGTATGGTCGAAGTGTTGTGAAAGTAGGAGATGATGATGACTTTTGATGCATATAGGATCATCGCTAACATCTCTGTAAAAGCTGTAGACATGTATCAAATGCTCTTTATCATCAACTCACTTTAAGACTGTTAATTACAGTTATTTCTGGTTTCTTTAGCCCAACTCCAATCACTCCTTTTCCAAGTGTGATGAGATGAGATGCAAATCTTCTTTTTCCCATCATTTGGGTCAAAAAAACAAAACCGTATTTTCACTACGACGATAACTATAGAATACTGAACTCGTATATCAAGCGTATATCCGATATTACACGGTACATGAACAGTAAGAAAATTTTCAAGAACCAAATGAATCTTACTTCTAAGGAAAGCCCCAACGCCCATGTGAGAACTCATGTTGCTATTGCCTATCAATTCCTCTTTGCTTCAAGTCCTCTGCAAAAATCACACGACATTGTTCCTTTACGCAGATTTCACGTTCCACACCAGCTGTACTCCAGGTTTGTGAAACCTAAAGGCTGATTCTTTTCATGTTCAAGACTCGATCGCAACATGAAAACACTTTATTTTACAATCAAGCTGAGCAATTATCTTGGCTACCTTTGGTTTAGATGGCAACTGTTACAATGGATTCGGCTGTTGTGAAGCAAATGAGATAATACTGTCAAAAATATTTAGTTACACAGAAACAAAAGGAAAAAAAAGTAACCCAAGGACAAGGGGAGCCAAAAGGGTCATAGCCATAAATAAATTGGAAGTACCCGGTTAAAATCCCCTCTTTATCTTTACTATAACTGGGAATCCAAGGACCACCCATTGTTATGTTATCCTTGTTTCTTTCTTTCACACTTATGCATAAGATGGAAAGAACAAACAGTAAGAAAATTAACTGTAATAAACCATAGGTAATACCAAGGTGCTTTGGCTGTTTCCATAACTTACACTTGCGACAGTCCATTTCCTCTGTTCACCGTGGGCATGTCCAAGGTTTGTAGCTTGAAGGGGAGTCCCCTCCTTTAGGCTGTATTTTTTTTATTCTTTCTATACAATTTCAGAGATTACCAACAAAACAAATAAATAAAAAACAGTCCATGAAAGCATCACATACTTCTTTAACAGCTATTTCCAGAGGACTGAGCAATAACTTCTATACAATACATGAAGTTTAATGTAATGGAATTCCCAACCAATATCATATCAAATAGACTTTGTTTATTAAAGCGATGCACAATAGAACAGGTGCCTTACAGTCAAGAAATGTCAGGCAAATGTAATTCTCGGAGCCACAGGAACATAAAATATGCATATGGCATTCTTCAACAGAACATCATTAATAACATCATGCGTTATTAGTAGTAGTTAATAAAACAGAAAAACAGCCTCAAGCTTGGAACAATGGGTAGTTCAGAGCTATTTTTTTTCCATTAGAAGACAAATCTTATAAGATTCTAAACCGTAACAGAGATCATCTTTAAAACAATGTATCATCTGCTTGCTGAACCAAGTGTATCTCATGTTTGCAAGTTTCACAACCTCCCATTCGAGATGTTGTTGAAGGAAAATTTGGTTTTTCTGATACATCACACCTACTAGACTTACAGTTCAGATGAAAATGATGAAGCAGCTCCCAAAATCAAATTTCTAATCAAACAAAAGTACATCTCAGTCAAGCATCTATATACATGATTTGGAACAGAGACCAAGAATGCCACAGGCCAAAAAGAATAAAAATCACACACAAACCTTTAAACATGTGTTTATGTACCCTTCTCACCAGTCAACATAACTGAAGATATAGTACTGATATAAGACTCGAAAAATACATATCACTGCTACATGTGGATCCAATTTCTTCCCAAAGAGAAAAATGAGAGCCTGCAAATGAGAATGTATATAAGCTATGCTAATACACTTCACAACAGTTTTTCACATTACAAATAAATGAGATAAGCTTTATGCATTAAAAATTAAAATATCCAACAAGGCAATTGCCTAAATCAGAACAAATTCTTTCTGTTGTAGTTCTACATTTCAATTTTATATTTCAAGTACCCTTAACCACCTTTGATAGTACAGGGCAATAATACAAAACAGAGTTGTTCAACAATTGTGTTCCTTTGTCTGGTGAAAGACTATTAGCATGATAACAATTTGACCAGGATAAACAAATCAACAAGTTTACAAAAATAGAACATCCAACAGGCCAAAATTCAGTGGTAAATTACCACAGGAGGAATCTTAAACTTGTCTGAAATGAATGGTATTGCCCGTTGATTTTCCACTAGATCATGATAAAATGCATACTCCGCCTCATAATCATGCAACCGAAGCTCAGCCTTTTGACTTGTATGGTAATGATGCTTAGCTGAAGCAGATTTCCCGAAACCAAAAATACTAACTTTGTCACATACTCCCAAAGCAAGCATCACAGCTTGCATACCAGAAGAGTAATGGAACATAGAACCATCATGGGCAGCTCCCCATTCCTCCAGTGGCTTCTCTATCTCCTCCACAAACCGTTTCAGTGAGTAATACTTCACAATCCTGGCACACAACATATCAAATCTCGGGTCTGTGATAAGCAAAGGTGCCTTATGAGATGCATTGCACATGATATAATCCAAGAAATGCACAGGCTGACAAACATACATAACCATCGGAACATTCAGTCCATAAGGGTGGCAAAAACACCCTTCCCTCCTAGCACAAAGATGCAAAATATTACTATTTACAAACGATACATTAGTTTTCGACCCCACACTCTGCTCAAACTTCTCAATCCTGGCATTGTTCAATCTTATTACAGTCTCATGACTGTCAATCAAAGCTCCATAATTACTTTTCAACAAAATCCCACTATTCCCCACAACAGCACAAGACTGATACTTTTTATCCGAACCCACTAATCCATTCTGCCTATCAATAGGATGCTTGACTAGTCTAATCAATTCATTCATTATATCAGCCTGAAACCTTTTCTTTCTAGCCCATTCATTTAAGTTCCTTCTAAAATCTAGCCAATAACGATAAAACAACGGGGACCGGAGCGTTACCGAGAGTCCTGAAGAAGACCTGGTTCTGATATCACGATGAAACCTCCGCCACGTGTTGATGGTACGGTACCGTCCTTGGCTCGCAAAATTCCCTTCCAAGAGTTGCTCAGTCTCTTTCTTTGATTTCTCCTCAGCCAAATCAATAGCAGCATACTTGAGTAAAGTAGAGTTGAACACCGGGAGAGGTTCAGGTGGTTGTTGTTCTCGCACAAAGATCTTATTTTCAAGCTCAAAGGAGCTGAAGAAGCTGCCGCCGCCATGGTGAATGATTCGAAAGCTTAAAGTAACAGCCAAGACTGTGAGCAGTAGAATGCTCAAGAGAGGACGGAACGGCCTTTTCATTTGGGCAACAAAATCAGCGAAGTTGTTAATGGGTATTGCTAAAAAAGGCCATGAAGTTGCACAGATCTTGAAGTTATGCAGAGGAGATCCATAATGAGCTTCAACAATCTTTGGCATCCAGGTCAAGGAAGTCAAGTTGAAGCAAGAAAAAGTGAAGTGGATGAAGAAATATGGTAACAGAAAATGCTACAAGAAAGTGAAAATAGAGTTAGAAATGAGGGAGAGAATGAGATTGGGATGAAGAGAGGGGAATTTCATGGCGAGTGAGGGAAGTGAGTGAATTTATATAATGAGAAGAATAGAATTGAGGAGGGAGGAGCCCTAAGAAAGTGGGGGAAGAGAAGAAGTGAGCTGAAATTAAGAAGAAAAAAAGGTCATGTAAAATGCATGTAGAAGTAGAATTAGTTAGAAGGCGTAATGAAAGGATGGTTTGATGTGTAGGTGAGATTTGAAGTAGACCCTTTTGAGTTTTGATTTTTGGGCACACCCCACTGTTCCAAATCATGTGAAACATTTTGATATATATTATCATTGTTGACAAAGATTTTGTTACTGTTTATATTATTAAACCTTAGGGAAGAATAATTTTTTTTTTAATATAATTGAGGTATCGAAGACCCATATTAAAGTCTGTTTAATCCTCGAAATCACGAAACACTCTGCAAGTTTAATAAACCAAAATAATTATATAAATTATATGATAAATACATTTCTTATGACTTGAACACAAAACTAACTGAGTATAACTAACCTAAATGACTAAAAGGTTTACCGTTGGGTAAGAAGGGGGAGAGATTATGTAAGAAATGTTTTTGTAATGAACAATATTATAAATTTAAATACCATGCTTAATTGAAACGTTTTAATTTAAAATATTTAAGACAATAATAAGACTTGGAATGGAACCCAAACCCACTTGACTTGAGTGATGGTTTTGATTAATAGTAATAGCAACAAAGAGACATTACATGATGCTTGACCTAGAATTCAACAACCAATTATATATTAGTCAACTTTGGAATCTCTTCCTAATTATCTTTCCCATTAGCACAATTCTTGCTTTACATTTTCTTTTATATTACTTGAAGAAAAGAGTTTTCTCTTGTTTCAGCCTCAAGAAACATTTCCATTTTCCTCCTAAGATTATTAAAACTAAGTAGGTTCAAGGACTGCATTTTGATTTAATATGGTGAGCAAGGAAACATTGATGTGGGTGTAGTGTCTCAGTCCAACTCCACCAATTACTAAGAATTAAGATTAATTAATTGAAGATATATTTTACAATGAAGAAATGCGGTTAGGCACGTGAAAATATTATTTAAAATGATATCAGAGAATATTTTTTGTTTATGGGGTTTTGTTAAATTGAACCAGTGGATTACATTTAAATCAAATTATTCTTATATAATAATAATAATAATTAGGTATTAACTTGAAAAAAACAACTTTCTAAGAAAAGAGGATGAGTAGAGCAAGTTAATACTAAAAACAGTATGCCATTAACATCTTCATGACATGCCATTGCCAGCTACCAGCCTCCAATTCAATCCATTGTCTACTATTCACATTACTTCATTTTTAATGAATATTTCATTATATTATTATTTCACATATTTTCATGATTCTAACATAAAATTAATAATGAAAATTAAAAAAAAAAAAAATTGAAGTGTACAAATAGTCCCGATATTATTTAGAAGATAAAATATGTAGTACTAATTTGGACTGAGGCCCAATTTAATACCCATCCAAAATGAAAATGAAAATGAGGCCCATCTCCATTTAAAGTAGGAGAGGTTGTTGCATTAAGTGCTTTTGCCCCCATTTTAATTTTTTTTGTTTTGGGGTAATTACAAATTTATCCATAAATTAAATTAATTATTCTTCTACATAAAACACTGCACTTATGTGTGGATAAACCGTAATTCCTTATGTTTCTTACCTAAATTAAAAGAAAAATTGAAAAATAATATTAAGCCTGGTAATTTTATATGTTTTTAAGATATTTAAATTATATAAAAAAAAAAAAATCTTTAATTATGACCCAGTTATTGTCTCCATATTTGTTTGACCAGTAAATCATATAATTAAAACCCAATATGACTTCAAACTGGATGATAATTTGAGTAGAGAAAAATGTCATTCCCAATTTGCCATTGCTTAAAACATTTGTCGTTATTTCTAGCTAGGGTTGTTTCTAAAAGTGCTTAAAATGTTGATCTTCAACTTCATGCATCCATCTAATCAGATTTGTTATGTATAAAAACATACAAGCTACGTCTCTTTATAGGAAACTCAAAGAAGCTTCCTAGTAATCACACCAAATTCCACAATAATCGTCGCTTGATACCCTAACTTGTTTTTGTTGTCTCTCACTCTCAAGGATCATTTTTTAGTTTTGCAACAGTTGAAGACCAGATTTCATATACGACGAAGATTCACTAGTGAACCTTCTGATGTAGAATTATAAAGTATCATCATACACTTTTTCAGATTTTGATTTGCCTAACGTTATGGAAGAAATATCATTTTCAATTTGAATATCCAACCTCTTGGAAGTAAAAAATCAGCTGAATACCATTTTGTTTTGCTCAATCTCACAATCACAAATTTCCCTCTTTGCACTTAATCACAACCATACACGTTGCTCTGCCTCACCTACATCCCCACTTTTATTTAATATTCAACCCACTTTATCACATGCATTCCCCCAATTTCCACTATTTTTCTTTTTCCCAAATATCAATAATCACATCTTTTCTTTTTTTTTTGGTGGTGGCTCTATTTAATTTAATGGAATTATTTGAAGTTTGGTTGAAATTCCATAATATTAATATTAATCTAAGTATCTAACAACCAAACCACACCTCACCTACCAACAAATAAAATAAGATGCCGAGCAGAAAGAAAGAATATTTTTTTTGAAAAAAAAAAAAAAAAAGAAGAAAACAGAAATTAAGATTATATTTTAATTAAGCTTAAAATATGACTGAATTTACATAGACCACACAAATTGACAATACTACCCCCACCAGCAACAACTATCACGTCCGACGCCGCCGACCCCCATCACCACATGAAACCACGCCCCGCAAAGACACAACAAATATCTCAAATCTCAAATCTTTTGAAGCTTCTCAGCCTTAATAACAGGATTAGCCTTGGCGATCTGCTCCTTCCCCATCTCCTTGAAATCAAACGTGCATTGGTGCTGTTCCGGGTACCTGTGGGTCCCACAAAACAACGACCCACACCTGCACTTGAACCCCGTCAATCCCACGCGCCTCCTACACGTCAAGCACCTGTTCACCCCCGTCGCCACCTCGACATGTTTCTTTTCCTCCTCTTTCACGACCGGAGCCGAAACCGTAATCATCTTCTCGACGACTTCAACGGCCGGAGATGGAACCGATGACGATGCCGAAGAGGAGATCAGGGTTTGGTTAAGGGCTTGTTTGGCCGAGGAAGATTGTTGTTCTTTTAACGCAAGATCTCGGTAACATTTAGAACAGAGATTTTGAGTCGCCGGACTCCCGAAAAATCCGCAGTTGTTTACGCACAAACGCGGTGCTTGGCATCTGTGTTCTTCCGCCATGGTTTTTCTTTTTCTTTTTCTCGTGAACAACCTGGAAAAAATTAAAATCCATAAAACTAATAAATAATAAAGATAATAAAAACAGAAAAGAAAATCTGATGAAAGAGGAGATGAATCTGTGGTGGTGGTTACCTGGAATGGAGATTGGTGATTGATTTGAGAAAAAAAAAAAAGCGTAGAGGGAGAGATTTAAAAGAGAGAATTTGAGAGAAATTTAAAAATTGTTTGCTTGGAGAGAGAGAAAACAGAAGGGAAAAGAAAGGAAAGGAATATAAGGGAAAGGAGAAGAGTGACGGGTTGGGTTCCTCCTCCACATAAAAGGAAAGGGAAAGGGAAAGGGAAAGACAAACTCTAAAGTCTTAAGAGAGAGAGGAATCCTGGTCCTGGGTGAAGATTCCAGACACCTTCTTTTCTCTTTTAGAAACCAAACAAACAAAACAAAAGAAACTCTCTTTTTAAATTACGCGGCGTTGAAACATAATTATACTAATAAATAAAACGGTTTCAATTGGATGGTTTTAGCTTGTTACGAAGCTTCAGCCGTTTAAGTTACTCTAGAGGTAGACGCCAACTTGGACCATTTCTCTTCATCCAGCCAACCACCTCTATTCCTTCCCCCTTTTTGGAATGTTAAATTATTCAAATTAAATAATATAAGAAGATGTATGTAGTAGGTTCTATTTTAATAGTAAACCATACGGCTACGTGGATGTTAGTGTTATGTTCTCCAAATGGGACCCTTATATTTAAGTAACCACTCACTACAGTTTAATTTTTAAAGTAAAATTAAACAATTTTATTATTATGTCACCAAACACTAAACAATAATTCTAATTTACAAAATGTCACAAATCAACATCTCAATAATAAACTCGTAGTGATGAATTTGACAAATTAGATGGAAGATGTTTACGTGAGCCAGGCAAATAATTTACTTGAATTTTGTTGTTAAAATAATTAGTGAAAACATGTATCATTGGGAGAAAGTAATTAAAAAGCATAAACTTTTTTTTAAAGAAAATGATAGTTCTATTCTATTTATTTGCCGAAAATGAAACAAATTCTCTTGTTATTGGTGGTCTTGATGAGTTTTTGAAATTATGAGGATAGCAAGTGCCAATAAAAACCAAAAGCGTTGCAGGGGTATTGAGTGAAATTTGTCCATTTAAAAAAAAAAAACATAATTATACTAGTTAATTATCTTAACTCTTATCTTATTTTCATGAGTAAAATTTTCAATTACAATGTTGAGTATAATATATTAATATATAAGTTGTGAAAATACAAACGTGTAACGAGGAACAAGGTACTGAAAAACAAAAAGAGATCCGTTTTTTATATTGTTGAACCTATGACAGGACTCGTACATCCATTATAGAAAAAAAAAAAATTGATAACTGCTTGGTAACAGTTACTTTGGTAATTACAAGGTAACTTCAATATGAAAGGAAAGAAGGAACCATTTTTTAAGACGCTACTATTTTTGGCGAAAAATTGAAAAGGAAATCCTTCTCTTCTTTCTTTAAAAAAAAAAAAAAAAAAAAAAAAAAAAAAAATCTATGTGGTTTAAAGAACAACTTGGGTATTTATGCAGTGAATTATGTATATTGCAATTGGTTATTTTATATAATGTGATTGCAATTGAGACCTTTGCATGTTTATGATCTTGGGAATTGCTTCAATTAAATCTTTGTGATTTCATAGCTAATTTCTAACATGTATGAGGATATCTTTATGTGAAAATACAACCTTATATGATAATTTATATATGATTGATTTGTTTTCTGTTGTTGCTCAATCGTCTTCTAATGCTTATGCTATGAATGTTGTTGGCTCTCAACATGGAAGAATTGATGAAAATTTCTCTACATTGTGGCATGACTGTTTCGTAGTGTTTGGTTCGGGAAATTTTTTATTATTAAAAAGATAGAATTATCACTAAGATAAATTACTTTGAAGATTAATGGGAGAATGTTATATCAATATGTTTGATTAGATTGGTGAGTATAAATATTCAATATGTTTGATTGAGAAGAATAAAATATTATTAATGGGGTTTTTATTGAATTACCCTTTCTTTTTAATATTATTATTATTATTTAGAGCATTATTTTAACGCAAAATTTAGTTAAAACATCCCAATAACAAAAGTTTAAAATTTAACAAAATACACCTAGTCACCCAAGATGACTGTCGATCAGTAGTCGTATTGGGTGACTGGGGATATTTTGAGTATTATTCATGTAAATAATGAGGGTATTTCTATCCAAAAAATTAATCAATGAGGTTACAAAAGTCATTTCGTACATTTGGACTAATTATTATTTAGTAGACATATGAGGGCATTTGTGTTCAAAATGTTTAGTAATTAAGGGTAAAATTAATATAAACAGTAGATCACCCTAGTAATAAAAAAATAAAACTCTTTTAGACAATAATCAAATTATCCCCTATATCATATACAATAGTCACTATTGATATTGGTCGATTACCGAAATCTTTTATTACTTAACACTTAAACTTGATAATTGTCAAAGTAAAATATAGATAACTGATGTTATCTTTTATGAATTCGAATTATACGCTCACTTTGAGTCAAATTTTTAAATAGAGGATGACAAGACTCGTTAAAGATTGTATCCTCTAGACCTCAACTAGTTTAATTATGACACTTGTGTTGATTGTGTCAAAGGAAAACCAACAGAGAAATTTGGATTTAATACACACTAGTATTTGTTGGCCATTTACACCTATTGCAATTAGGGGTTACAAATACTTTACCATCTTTATTCATTGTCCAAAAGTCTGATTCCTTGCATGCTTTTAAAGCTTTTAAAACTATAGTTGCGTTGTAGAAGGGCACGAAAGTCAAAAGCATTGAGGTGGTCAGCACCATGGGCGATATAATGAAATTGGGCGTAATCTTGGACCTTTTCAAAGTTTTCTCCAAGAATGTGGTGTTGAAGCTCAAAATTTAATCCTAGGTACACCGGAACAAAATAGAGTTGCAAAAAGGAGAAATAGAACCTTTCTTGATATGGTGTGATTTATCAGATTTTCTGTAAGGTAAAGCCTCAAGAATTGCAGCTTACATGCATTTTGAACCAAGCACCCTATAAATTAGTTCCCTAAACTTTTCACGAATTATGGTCAAGCAAGAAATCCAGTTTGCGCTATTTTCACGTCTAGGGTTGTAGAGAAGAAATGAGACCTTGTAATCCTTAATCCAGAAAGCTCAATGCTAAAACTGGTAGTGATTATTTAATTGGCTATTGTATTGGTTCAAAGGGTTATGTCCTTCCGATTGTGCCGTTTATTTTTAAGATGATCAAAACAGTTGGAATTCTAACCTAACAATGTTGTTTTTTGAGAAGAACCTGAACTTTTGATTATCCTAATCTCATTACTGCCTATTCCTACGATGGGTTTGCCATAAGTTGAAAAATCCTCTTTTTGAACTAGATGAAAATCCAAAACCCTTAGACTTGTTTTGGGTGGTATTTTTGGAAATTACAACTATATTTCAAATTCAATTGAAATTACGAAAACAGAAAATCTACTTGACAATAAACCCACAAAAAACTTACCGACCCATTATATAATATGTTTGAAAACGAATTGGATCAAGGTGGGTTTGGATTACCTATTAACGCAAACTCTTTTTAAATATAAATTTATTATATAATTTATTTCATAGATACATCATAATCGCATTTTCTGATAGAACTATTTTATAAATATATTTAGATTTATTTGAATTTATGATTTAATGAAGAAATAAAAGTTTGCAACAACCACTACAACAAAAATTACATGCAAAAAATGTTATCAAAGATAAATGATAGCATTAATAGATATGCTATTACAGCCTATGTTACTAAAAAATGAGGTTTTGGTAACACTTTTTGCGTGTTATTACTAATTATTTTGTTCAACTTGTTGAAAGTTATAAATGAACTTTCAATAACTGTAATAAAGTGTTATTGTTAAGTATATTATAGTATTTATTCGTAATTATGAATGATTTTATGTTACACTACATAAATGCTATAAATAAGTTTTTTAAAACATTCTTAATATGTTATAATTTAGTTTTTTGTAATATTGTTAAAATGTTATAAATAACAAATCTATGACATTTTTACAATGTTATAGATTGGTTTTTCTTAATATTATTAAAATGCTATAAAAAAGTTCTTAATAACATGTTAAAAATGCTACCAAAGTTTTAAAAGTGTTGTAGATAGGTATCTATTACATTTTGTAAATGTTACAAAATTATTTTCCATAACATTTTGAAAGTGTTATCAATGTATCTGTTATAACATATATAAAAACGGTTATAATTATTACTTTAATAATACAAATTATAAACAATGATACATTAATTTTTCAAAGAACATTTCATTAATGGTGAACCTTCTTATACAAAAGTTTGCATATATGCCTAATAAATAAACACCCAACATCATTTACATCCATAAATTCTAATGCCTAAATGACTGGAAAATTAACTATGAACAATAGTTAATACTTTCCAATCATTCAAAAAATTCTAACAACAAAAACCACCATGCATGCCATCTTTCATTCCCAATTGTGCTTTACCGAAAAAAAAATTTTGCATTTTCAGAGCCTACAAAACCATTAATACAAAAGACATTTTCAATTCCCATGTATATTCTCAAAGATGACAACACATATATTGTAAATTTAAGAAAAGATGAAGACAAAAACAACCCATATATTTAATGCAAAACAAAGAGGAAAAGAACATGTTTAAATCTCCAACTTCGCAATCACTAGTTCTAAAAAAATGACACCATGCAAGTTTAAAAGATTTATCAATATTACATATTTCCAAATCTTATCTCCAAATTATATCATTATAATATATGTTACAATAAATGAAACCTAAAAGAGATGATATAATGGAAAAAGAAGTTACCTAAAATTGTTCTGGAAAAGATAGGACAACTTTGTCAGCGGGCCAAGCAATTGTTCTACCCACAACATCTTCAACATAAACCATTTAAGATGTAGGCCTCCACAAAAACGCATTAGGTACCTTGGCTATATCAATCCAAACTCTCATAGCATTAGGTCCAACAGGAACATGATGAACAAGTGTTTCTGGATCATTTGATGAAAAACGTCATTCAGCTACTACTTCATTAGACCCTATCCAATCAAGCCAACTTGGAACAAGTGCTTCTCTTGATAGCCTGTATTCTTTTTAGCCAACTTAACAAAGTTCCATCCTTTTTGCATCTATGCATCTGTAGCTATATATATATGCTTGTTAAGGATAATCATTATTACTTCTAGAGGTGGAAAAGCA